ACGTGCCATCGCCCCCCCCCCAGGGGGCAAGCACTGGCAGGAGCCGGCCCCCCCATGAGACATGCCTCATTCCTACAACCCCCACAAACCTGGCTGGGCAGCACCTGCCCCCTCCCTCACCGGGGTGGGGTGGGGTGGTGTTGATCTGTTCCCTACCCCTCTTCCCTCCCCTTCCAGCTTACCAGCTGGAGGCAGCTCTCCATGCTGCCAGCTCTGCTCCATGCTGAGCAGCAGCTGCGTGCAGCACGGGCATTTATCAGCCAAATTATCGGCCCCATAGGGCTGATATCTGATACAGGTTTCCCTCGATTTACATGGGTTGTTTATATGCAAATTTGCTCTTATGCGATGAGTATATTTAGACCCATAATTTGTTATATGCGAGATAAATTTGCTCTTAAGTGATCAGCATATGTGCCCCACCTCTGCCCAAGCAGGTAACTCTTTGTGGGGAGGAGAAAGGGCCCTGGACCCACTCACCCCAGCCCTCGCTGCAGTGACCCCAGGAGTGGCTGGCACCAGCTGCCTGCAGCTGCTGGCTGTACTATTCTCCACCTGTCCCCTGTGCCTGGGCTCTGCTTGTCTGCACTCATCTCTGCTCCTGGGCTGTGCCGTACTCGGGCCTGCTCCAGCATGGGCTGGGGTGAGTGCAGACAAGTGGAGCCCCAGGTGGCACAGGGTGCAGCTGTCACCCCAGCTCCTGCTGCAGCAGCCCCAGCAGTGGCTGATGTCAGCTGCATGTAGCCACTGGGCTGCACCATGCCCTGGTGCAGGCAGCTGATGTCAGCTGCTCCCAGGGCCACTCCAGCACAGGCTGGGGAGAGTGCTGCACCCTGCACCACCCGTGGCTCCACTTGTCTGCACTCACCCCAGCCCATGCTGGAGCAGCCCTGTGAGCAGCCGACACCAGCTGCCTGCACCACAAGATGGTATAGCCCAGTGGCTGCAGGCAACTGGCACCGGCTGCTCCTGGGGTTGCTGCAGCTGGGGCCAGGGTGAGTGCTACTCTGTTCCCGTTGTTTTGCTTCCTTGTGCAGCCCTGGGAGCAGCACCCCTCCCGCTGCCCCTTCCCTAGTTCCAGCTTTACTCCCTCCCTCACCACCATAGGAACCTATCCCTACATGTTACATTGTAAAGTGAGTTTGCTTTATGGGAATTTGATTTATGTGCCATTCTCCGGGAATGCACGTACCACACAAATGGAGGGAAACCTGTACAGACAATGTTCTTCATAATAGGTACCAATCTGATATCGGACCGACATATTGGTGCACCTCTATGTACACCTAACATTAAAACCAATTTTAGGCCTTACTCATATGAATTTAACATTATAGAAAAAATTAAAAAATCCAAAGATTACATTGAAAGATTGCATTTGTGCTCAGAAAGTGAGCATCTAGATAGGTAAGTGTTCAAGAGGAATACTAAGAGTTCTTGGGCATTCCAAAGCTTAAGCATATGTATTTAGGCAGACACACTGCACGGAAACTACTCTGAAGCTACGATCCTAAAAATCACCTTTTAAAAGCCTTCTGTAAAAAGTGATGGTTTTTAAAATATAGCTATTTTGGTTGAAATCAGAAGTAAAGATTTAGGGACTATATCGTTCAACTCTTAGTTCATGCAACATTTGATTAATGTTTTGGATTATATTCACCAACAGCATTTTTTTTTAAAGAGTATTAATAATGTTAGCTTTGGGAGAGGAAAGGTCAAAAGACACAGAACAAAATGTAAGTGCGTCAAATGTTTTTCCGGGATGTCACCTGTGCTATCAGTTTCTGAAGGGGTGGGTTCTGTAGGGGCAGGTACACAAGAAAGAGGTTCCTCCTCTGAGTCAGAATCAGAGTCGAGAAGCATGCGAGAACTGGAAGGCTTAGTGGCAATACTGAGAGAGGTAGAAGAATGTTGGTAGGTAAAAGACATTGACTCCATTGTGTGGGACTGAGTGATGTGGACTAAACAGTACAAAGAAGGGAAAAAAGGTCAGAAAAGATGTTAAGACAGAAAAAAACTAGAAAGAGAGTATTAGTTTTTTACATTTTATCATGTAACACAGTATTTACAAAATGGACACCATAAACAAAAGAAATAGTTATTAGTTTGCATGAGATACAGAATATATTTTCTTAATTCTTAAAAGTTTAGGGAAAAACCTCATTTTTTAAAAACCCATTGAAAGGGCAGGGTTAAGGTAAAGACCGTTTCACTTAGTACCTGAATATTAAGTGCTATCAAGCTTTTGAAAACGTACAAAGGAATACAGAAATACCAAATAAGGTGCATAAACCTCAGCAGGGCAGTTTAATACTTCAGCTCCTACGGAATTAAATTAAATTGATGAAAAAAGTAATATTATTAAAAAATACATACCAGGGAATCCATCATCTGCCTCAGCATCCCCAGGGCCACTACCTATGCTACTATTATCTAGACCAATATGCAATGACTGCAGCTGTGAGCGAAGTTGTTCAATGTCACTATCTTTGCTGTCAAGTGTCATCTGCAGTTCGATTCGTATCTGGCTCTCTTCAGCTATTTGCTGTAAAAATGATTTTAAAAGATTTGCCATTTAGTATTAACACTCTACTCCATAATTTACTAAAAATATTTTCTTAGTGAAATAAGTACTTTGCAACAAATCTTGAAGTATACAACTATTTCATTTTTAGGTGAGTCATCCTTCACATAAGTAAAATTATAAGTAAATATGCTATCCTACAATATTTATATCCTCTTTTGCAATTTCTTAAATAGCTACCGTAATAGTCTTATTTTGATTATTTCTGCACAGGTATTCTTACCGCCTGCATCTCATTGATCTCCTTTTGATATTTGATCATCATTTGAGTTAAATTTTCACGTTCAGATTTCAGTTCCATATGCAGCTTCCTGTTTTCCTTTTCTTTCCTCCGCACATCAGTGTCAGCTCCACGTTTGACAGGATTCTTCCGATTCATGATCTCAGCCAGCTTGTTCACAGCCTTCAGAACACAGAGCAAAGAAAACCCCCAGAATCAGACCGAGTGTAAACATCCACAGTCACTTTTAAAATACTTCTCAAAAACTCAAATCATTGTGCACTGCTAACTAAAATGCCAATGTAAACCAGTGTAGTAATTAAGTATACTTCCAAAAAAAAGAAAATAAAGATAATGATGATATTTCATTTTGGATAGAATATTTTTTCTGCATACTTCCTTCACATAATCCATTTAGTCAGAAGCCAAAAGTATCTTTGAATGGGAATTTCTAACAGGCCACTAGGTTGTCTAGAAATTATACGAATTCAAAATCTGATTAATAAGGTCTAGTTTCCTAATGACAGCAGCATTCATGACCACAGCCTTCAAGAAAGGTGAACAAGTGTGTGTGCGTATGTGTATATTTAGACAAAGACGAAGGTAACTAAGAGTTGTTCATAACAGATTTAAATCAAATTATCTCATAATTAAGAACCATGTCAAAGCTAGATGTTTTGAATCAAGATACATGGCTTTATGTGCATTCTGTTTTACATAGAGGTAAATGACGTTGGTGAAATATGTCTACTGACATATATGATATACTGATGTAGCTACACTGATGCAAATTTTTCTGATCTATTTCTGTAAAAAGGCGTAGTATAAAGATTGCATCCATTGAGTGCATATGGTCAGTTAATATCAGAAAGCAGCCTTTCCATGTAAAAATGCTACATAATTCATGAAACATGCGCTGATGAGGTTACTGGGATTATTGTTTCCTCCACTTTCACTTATATTTACCTGGGTTTTCAGTGTTCTCTCGTTCAACAGCTGTTTCTCAAGTTGTGCTTTAATAGTTACTGTAGCTGCTGCTTCTTCTTTTAGCATCATAATTTCTGTAATAAAGTAATAATGCAACTATATAAAGGCTGATAACAGCAGTAAACAACAACACTTTTAAAAGTACAAATTACTTCAAATTGAATTCAAGGTGTTTAGTAAGCACTCACCTTCTTGAGCTTCTTTCAGTTTATTATTCAGCTCTTCCTTCTCATTAGCAAGATTAGCCACATCACTAGTTAGTGTCCTATTGGCTTCTTCCAACTAAAAGGAAAACAAAGAATACAGTTACCACATTACCACACAACTACCACCACTACCAGCAGCAGATCAATGGGTTCCATGAAGTGACGTGTACCAAAGCCCAGGAATAAGAGGAAGAGGTCCTGAAGCAAGAAAAGGAGAAGAACATATTACCAAGTGGAGGTGGGCAGAAGAAGGCGGTGGAGAGTGGCGGGGGGAGGGAGGAAAGAAAGGGAAGGATAAGAAACTTCTTGTCAGACCATGTGATATGGAAAAGGAATAATGGAAGACCTTGCTAAAGTCAAGAAGCAAACAGAGGGCATGTATGATGACAGCTGCCCAGAGAGACTTGATGGAGTTCAAAACAATGAGGAGGTAAAGGCTGAAATGTTAAGAAAAACTGAGAGAGCTTGGAACCAAGAAGAGCAGAAGGAAATTCATCACAGCTACTGCAAACCTTTGCAATGGAAGGGAGCTGAAAACAGAACGATTACTGAAACCCACGTAAAGGCAGAGGATGGGTCAAAGAAGAACAAACAGGTGGAGAGAGCCAAGGATAACCATGTATGGAAGCGTATTTTTTATTTTTTTTTTGTAAAACAAGGCCTTATTCTATAGGTTTCAACAGGAGAGGACTGCATTTAAGACCAATAGGGACAGAAGTCCAAATTGAATAAGTCTGACTAATTGGTGGTAATTCACACTTCATAGGTACGAAGGAGGGAAGAGACAGATTTTGAACAGTTGTCCGCGAGACCTAGAGAGAGGTCATGGAACTTATATACAGGGATCTACCACCTTACTGGGGTCGTTTGACCCCAGTGCTCTTCCTGCCATGGCAGGGGGTCGGATTAGATGATCTGCTCAGGTCCCTTCCGACCCTAGAAACTATGAAATCCGGGAGGCAGCTGGCTGACTTCGCAGGCAGATCATGGGGCTGGATGGCTGCCATTTTCATGGGCTTATCACAAGCCCCCTGGTCTCTGATTGGCCACGAGGAATAAGGAGGGAGCCAGCAGTACTCATAGCCACTGCTGCGGCCCAGCTGTGTGGCCTGCCAGAGGGGTGGGGGGCTGCAGGAATGAAAGTGAGCCCAAGATGGCTGTTGCCCCCGCCCCTTGCCACTGATTCATTGCAAGGGCTGTCCATCATATGGCTCTGCCCCTCGAGGCTGACTGGCCAGGAGGGCAGGCCGTCATGTGGCCCCACCCCTCGCTGCCAATTGGTGGAGGGGGTGGGGCCACATGACAGGCAGCCCCCACAACCAATCAGTAGCAAAGGGCAGGGGCAGCAGCCATCTTGGGCTCCCCTTTATGCCAGCAGCTGCCTCCCCCTGGCAGGCTGCACAGCAGCAGCCATGAGTACTGCTGGCTCCCTCTGTGACAATAACACTATTTGTGTGGAAATGTGCATCTCAAAATATAGTTTTATGGAAATAAATGTATTACTCTTTGGTGCTTTACAATAAAGCACCAACATTTGTCTAACACATTATTTCTGAGGGGTTCTTCTAAATTAGGATTATAAACAAGATTTCCAATTTAATCCTTGAAAACCTATACAAAGCAGGAGTATATTAAGCCATGATAAAAGCCTTAACAAAACAGGATATACCACTGCATGCACTCCTTCCCTGCACAAACTTCTCAGGAAGGAGGTTGAGAGAGGAAACAACCTGTGACAGAAGTTAGGCACATTACTTAACCTGCTGGAAGGTGGCGGGATCCTATAGTGATGAGTGCAGCATAGAGTTTATATAAAGTAAAGTAGAATGCCCTTAAAAACCTTCCTCTCTAAAGAGATCCTTTTTATTTAGGTTTTTATACACCTCGAATGGAAAGCCTAACAAAACTTTGATTAAATGAACATGGACTGGACCAATTATATGTAGATTTTGATTTATATATTTGGTTTGGTCTCCACAGAAAACTATTTTTTCAGCCAAATACAGGAAGTATGCAAACCACACATACTAAGAAATATTTGCTATGATTTTAAAACTTCATTCATCCATAGGAAGGAATGTAATGGTTTTACCCCTTCTCCTGCCACTGTGTTCATATAGAGTTTACTTCTAACTCTTCTAAGCACCAAAACAATTCAAGCTGTGTGTTTCTGTAAACATTCAAATATGTATTTCAAGTACTTGTTTTAACAAATAAAGAATTTCTAGCACACACAAAAACAACTGCAGAAGGTATTGTGCAAATTACTTACAGAAGCTATGGTAGCATCTTTTTCCGTAAGCTCCTGCTTATGCCTAGCCATCATTTCTTTAATCTCCAGCTCTTTCATGATCTTCTCTTTTTCCAAATCAGAATATTGCTCTTCAGCAATGGAGCGAGCAAGTTGCTCTGAATCAGCTTTTGTCAAAGTGATCTCAAGCTGAGCAGCCAAGGAGTCTCTGCAAATAATTAGTAGTTATTCAGAAACCGTTTTTTAAAACAAAGTTAAGCATTCTGGTTTTCTGTACGTTTAATAGTACAGCCCATAAACCCTCACCTCTCATCTTGTAACTCTTGTATCTTTTGCTGTATTTCTTTACAGAGTTTAGTTTTTTCTTCACATTCTTCTTTCAGCTCTCGAACCTGTGTCTTGTACAAGGTCTAGATTTAACAAAAAAGAGAAAGAGAAAGGAAATGACTTGCATATTGTAGTTGAAAGAGACCAGACATTAATAAATGTGATTCTTAATGTGAACAGAGGTCATATGCAGGTGCGCCATGTCCCCTCTGTGTGTAACACTACTCCCAGAAACACTGTTGTTTCTGTCTTTTTTCATTACCCTCCTCTCAAATAATGGTCCTGTACCTGAAACGATACTAGAGATGAGAAGAAGAGATAATCTTCTGTTCAGGAAGAGAAATGCATTCAGTCTCCATACTCTTTCTCTTGTGTGCGCACATGCACGCGCACACACACTTACTTAAACTATCAAATCAAAGTGCCTAGGAACACTATTCATGGACACTTTATATTGGGCCAGTAATTCTCAACTAAGTTAACAAGATCCTTTCAAGGAAGTTGTAGCGTGGCCATGCAATTTTGGATTTTAGGATTGCCTGTCAAGTGTACAATCATGATTCACAAATAAATCCAGGGATTTCAAATAGGAATACATAGCATTAAAAACTTCCTGACCTGTTGTGGGCTTTCTGAGTTCTTCACAACAGAAGAACTGCTCTATTATTTTTCTGTAGTCAAAAAACCAGTGAAAGCTAACAGCCTGCATTTTCTGAGGGGTTCCTTAAGCCTAAGAAGATTGAGAACCACTGTGCTAGACATTGTACAAATAGTATAAAAATACAGTCCCTGTCACAATGTAAGGGCATGGACCCATATAACACTTAGAATGCTTTAAATGCAGTTGAAACCAAAACAGAAAACAAGGCTGTTACCCCAGTTTAAATCTGCCTGGAATGGTTCAAAAGCATACCTGGAAAACCAAGTGCTATTTTGAATTGGTTCACTGTGAACTGTTTCAGCATTGTGTGGACACCAAGCATTCTGTGAAATGGATCTGGTCAGTTCTCCAGACATCCCACACTGCATTGCCCCCCGCCCCGCTGCAACTAGCTGCTCTGGTAAGCTGCCAGAACTCTACTGCCCCATTTTTTTCCCTGTATTTTTGATCAGTCAGTTCCTTTGCACTGCTTGTTCAATAAAACTTATCTTTCTAACAACAAGTTGCTTCCTCACTCCTTACTCAACCCCAGCCCCTCAAAGTTTCCTCAGTCCCTGGGAACCAAAATCGGTGGGTCCAAGTACTAACTCCCTTCCCATCCCCACCGCTCACCAACTGTGATGAATGCTGGCCTGAGTTCTAGCTTTTATCCTTTGGTGTCAGAGCCACAGAACTTCAAACAATTGAGACCCAGTTCCCAATCACAGACACTCTGAAATGGTTTGATTGCTATATGTCTTTGCTCCCTGTCCTGCAACAATTATGAACTTGTTCCCAATCAGTAACAATGGGAATCAGTGATGGTTCTATTTGCGTCTGTACCTTAACAGCTTATGATCCAAGTATAAAATGAGACACATAAGATGGATACAGACAAGTATGGAAGTAAAAGGAGACTACTTTGATCAATACAACAGGCAGGGATCTCTGCATAGCAACAGCATAATTGTCAGAATCATAGAATGGGGCTGGAAGAGACTGTGGGATGTCAGCTAGACCAGTCCCTACTCTATATAGAATCATCTTATCAGGGAGGTTAGGAAAGATGGAGAGAGAACATGAGCAGGGATCCAGGTTTTCTGTTTCCCATGGAAAATGAAGTAAAACACAGATTTCCCCCCTACCAAAGTAAAACAGTGATTTATCATTTTAACAGAGAAACCTACAGATTTTGCAGTTTTGCAGCGAGCTGTCTGCAGACTGCCAGAGATCCAGCCTGCAAAATGTTGGGCGGGAATGGGAGGAGTGCAGTCAGGCAGGGGAGCACATGGCCCCAGGCAGCCTGGAGAGCAGCTCCCACAGGTAAGTCCAGCAGGGGAGGGGGGGTGGAGGAATTGAGGCCCCACCCATGATGGGGGGAGGCTGGGGCTGCTGCCCAGCCAGGCAGTGGATGGGGTTTGAGGCCAGGGGCTGCAATGCAGTCACAGGGCCCTGGTGCGGAGCGGGACAGGGCCACGGGCAGCTTGTTCAGGGGGTGGGTTGGGTAGGCTCCCTGCTGCTGTGTGCACTCCCAGGGGGCAGGGAGGACCCACGCCCCCTAGATCTGTATGTGGGGAATGGGTGAGCTGCCCACTGTGGGTTTGGGCTCCTGCCCTGCTGCCTTCCCCTAGGGCCTCTGCAGCCCTGCATGAGACCCGGCACTGCAGGGAACAATAGAATCATGCAGGGATCTCCTTGCCACTGCAAACTCCCACGCTGCACTGGTAATGCATCCTCCAAGTGTCGGGGCAGCAGGGTTATGCCACTTGCTGCAGCCTCGCATGCAGAGGACGTGTCACCAGGGCAGCGTGGAGCCTGCAGCAGCAAGCAGCTTTCTTGTGCAGCCACAAGCTGCCCTGCAGCACCATATCGCACCCACCAGGTTGTGGAGGCCCTGGGGGAGGTCAGCAGGTCAGGAGCCCCAGCCCACACCCATGCCCACCCCATACACAGATCTGGGGGGAGCAAGTTTTCCCTACCCTGGCAATGTGTCCTCCACATGCAGGGCTGCAGTGAGCAGCACAACCCCATAACACTTCCCCCCACACACAGAGGATGCATTGCCAGGATAGCGCAGAGCTCAGTGGCAAGGAGATCCCCATGCAGCTCTGCTGTTCCCTGCAGCGCTGGGTCACACATGCTGGGCTGCAGAGGCCCCACAGGAGAGCAGCAGCGCAGGAACCCAAGCCTGCAGCCTGCACCTACCCCGTGCGCAGATCTGGGGGGTGTGGGTCCTTGTTGCCCTCTGGGAGTACATGCAGCAGGAGGGAGCTGGCCCCCCAACCTGCGCCCACAGCAGGCAGACAGCGTGGGGTTAGTGGGGAGCCAGGCTCTGTGCTCTGCTCCACTGCAGCAGCTGCAGTCTCCTGCCAGGGGCAGAGGACTGTGGACCCAGATCCCTGGCCCTGTAGCCCTGGCAGCTGGGGCCCCCTCCAGCAAGTCTGGTGAGGGGCCAGGGGCACCAGCGGGGGGGAGTGTGGAATGTAGGGGGGCTTTTATTTTAATCATGGATTTGGGGGTTTTATCAGAGAATTTGCAATTTTTTTTTTTTTTTTTTAATCAGGGAAAACAAGGATACCTGATTATGAGACTTGAAAAACCTGAGCAAATGTTTGAACTATTGAGCAGTAATATCAAAGGAAAAATTAGTTAGTATTTTCCTCTGAACATCCAATGGGAGGAACGGACCCCTTGCAAGAGCAGGGACATTTCTTGTGTTCCCCAGTACAAGCTCTTCCCCTTCCTTCTTTAGGCTATTCATCACTTGCAATCAAATCAAGTCTCCCAGAAGAGAAGCCAGGTTCGAGGCACTGATCTGGACACAGGTCACTAAAGACTGATAACAAGAAGCCCTTTTCAACTCTACATTTATAAAAAAGAGCTAAAGCCTAATGCTCTGGGGGAAATGTGAAAGATGATATGGTCCTTAAAGAATGGAAAGGGGTAATCAATGATACATACTGAGAAATATTGTTCAGCTTCAAGCTGGTCTTGAAGCTCTTTCATTTGTCCATCTGCATCTTGACGTTCCCTGTAAAGTCAAAAACAATTCTTTTAAGAATAGTGCTTGTGCTTTTATGAGCATGTTCATGCACACATAGATAAACTGTATCCCTGTCCTACTATTCCCTTACTAAGGTATGCAGCCTACCAGGCCATTCTATCCGGCCCATGGGGCCCCTAAAATTTTTTGAAAATTAATATTTATCTGTCCCTGGCTGCCTGTCATGCAGCCCTCGATGGTTGCCAAAACTCAGTAAGCGGCCCTCCCCACAAAATAATTACTAAAGTGCAAGAATCACATCCCCTGATTTGAAAATGACACTTCTGCTAATACAACCCAGTATGCTGTTGGCCTTTTTTTTTTTTTTGCAAAATGGCCACACTGTTGCCTTATATACAGTTTATAGTCTACTGTAACTCCATCTTGTTTGTTCTTTGTGTGATTCTTGCATTCCTTTACACTGGGGGCCTATCCATTTAACAAAAAGAATAAAGGAAGTCCTCAGACCTCTCCTGTATCTCAGGTGTTAGCAATATTTTGCCACCAAGGGCCACTGATTGCAACTCAACCCAGTCATGAGTTGCAAATGTTGGTTCCCTCCCTGCTGGTAATATAAAAGGTTAAATTGGGGGTGTCAAACAAAAACAACAGAGAGGGCTGGGCAGTCAGCAGATGGTGCTGATTTTAGTCTATTCCTCTGTATGTGGAAGGACACTGGGGACATACTCTTTGCTGCTCAGGACGTTGCAGGCAGAGGGAATAGACCAAAAACAGTAAGCAACAGGATCCTGGAGAAGCCTTTTCTATTGCTCAGACCTTGCCACAGGCCAGATACAATCTCTTAGTGGCCCAGATGGGGTCCATGGTAGATGGGTCCTAACTTGGTAGTTAAGCCATTTTCCTGACAAGTGGAAGAATGGGAATAGCATATCCCATAGGTAGTCCACTACACAACAAGCTCAAGAGGCACACAATGCTGCCTGCTGCCAGAATAGGAAAGCTATACATCTCCGCAGGCAAAAAAGGATCAGCATCTTGAGGCAAACTAGGCTGTCACAAAGAATGAGAACACTCTGCATCTCCCTGGACAGAAAAGGATCACGCTCCTGAGGCGAGATGCACATTTAAGTATCTAAAAGATGGAATAGAAGCTGAGCTTCTCACTTATTATGCAGCTATACTGTCCCCAACTCACTGGGGACTGATGTCATCAGGCTATTATGTACTTCTGTAATACAACGAATGGTAAACAGCAATTATTTGTAATTATTAGATTCAACACTGCAGTAAAGTGCATTGATAGAGTCAGTCAATTCTATATGGCAAGTATTTAAAATAACTTTGGTCCTAAATTTTTGCAGAAAATGAAAGTGCATTAGTGCGTCTACAAAAAACCCAAAAAGATATTTTTGTGCAATTCTGCTTACTTGCGGAGTTCATTATTTTGCTTTTCCAAGCTCAGTTTGATTTCCACGAGATGGTTATTCTCTTGTTTTAGCTGCTTTTCTGACATTTTTAATGAGTTAACTTGTTGCGTTTGCATCTTTAAGTCATTCTGTGTGAGGCAGCGTTTCTGTGTTTCCTGTTCTATTTTTAATGTTAAGTTTTTGATCTGCAAAATAAATCAATTCTTATTTGTATCCTAGAGGAATTTACAATCCATGTAGCAAAGTGAGACTTAAAACAGCATTTATATTTGTATGATGGTCTACTTTTTAAAAATACATTATTGCACATAGTGCAGATGTCCTTTTAGAAAGCAAAGGATCGATAAATTCTAAACGCAAAGAAAGAAAACAAGCTCTTTGCCCCAACATTACACAATTTAAGATTCCATATGAAAAACTCTTCCAAAATATGAGTGCTCAGAAAAGTAAAGCTTAAACTAGAAGGAAGTTTTCCCACCAGTGCAGATATTTTTACCGTTACTTTAAGTAGCAAATATTTATAGATACTGCCTGAAATTAAGAGCCATATCTAAACTGAGCACTAATACAAGCTTTTCAATTATCAAAAAGGTTCCCAATCAGACTACTGATACAAATATTACTTACTTCTTCATTTAATTTATCCTTTTGCTTCAGGAGTTCATTTATTTTCTGCTGTGATTGTTTGAGATCACAGTCCAACATTGAACACCGCTTCTCAACTTCTAACATGCAGTTTTCTACTTTTTGCTTTGAAACTCTTTCTTCCAAGAGTTTCTTTTCCATTTCTGTGAAATAAGATCATTACGGTTAAGTCAATGCAAGTTGTGAGCATTCAACATTTCTAAAAAATTGGGACCTTTGGTTAGGTTCCTAACTGTGGTGAAATGTAAAAACTTGCATCTCTTCAGTTTAAAATATTGTGGGGCCTTTTGGCATTAAAGGTGAAATGAAGTATTAATTAAATTGATAATTGAGGATTTATACTCCTTTAAAACTAAAGAGAGATTTTTGTAAAACTGGTACACAAATATTGCTCAGGCAGCTCACAGCTGAATGGATAAATTGAAAAACATTTTCATAATGTCTCATAAACCTCAAAGTGATTGTCAGCTATTTTCTCCTTTTCTGCTCCAGGACAAGTTCCAGCTCATCTGCAATCCATCCTCAGTCTCAGAACCTGATTTTTTTTTTTTAAAAGGCATTCTCTTTGCTACATACCCACTGCCCAAACCTTTCCATATGCTGTCTTTTGCTATCCTAGTTTGGAATCAACTGCAGACTATAATTTCAACTGTCCAGCAATCTGTTGTATTAACTGAATTGCATGTTACTACTGAATCATCATTATTCTTGCTTTCTGAATATCTGCAAGCCTAGGCTCAAATTTTTTTATTCGCATTCCTGGCTTTTCAAACTAATGCACTGGCTTACAACTAAAAGGGGTAAGAAAGCTGTTCTTATCACAAACTGACTGAAGGATCACTGATATTTGCACACATTTTGTCCTCATAGCCTAACATTATGTATATATTTGATTTCACTTAAGATGTAAAATGTGTAAGTTAAAAGGTTTTTAGACCCCCTGATGATAAGCATGCTTTAAGAAAATATTAAAACAGAGCTAGCTGCATCATCTTCAAACTTCTAATTAAAAATACTGTTTGCAGTTCTTTTTCACTTTGCCAAGTTAACTGGGCTTAATTTTTTCATGCTGCATTTCTGCTTCATGCTGCATTTTTCCCCCAGGCAAAATGAATCAGAACTATTTCCAGAAACAGGGCAAGGGAAAAGACATCTTTTGTCCACATTAAAAAAAATCTAACAAACTGGTTTTTGGGTTTTGTTTTGTTTTATTTTAAGCTTTGCAGACCCAAGTTTTGGAACTTGAATCTGAAATTTGGCAAGGAGCTTGCCTTTTTGAGAGATGCGTCTTGTCATACACAAAAAAAATCCCCCACCTCCCATCCTATCCTGAAAAATGCCGTTCATATAAGCAGTTCCTCCTTAGGGAAGCTGGAACATTAAAGCCAGGAAAACAGCCCCACAACAGCTGTAGTCAATCAGGATCACTTCAAAGAATGTATTGGAGGTGCTTGTGAAGAGAAAGTGGATGAAGAGTTTTTAGTTTTCTGGCATTAAGCAGATATATTTGATCTAGTCATCAATTTCTGCAGCATATAATGTACTGTTTGTTCTCCAGAAGTCCCCACACAGCCTTGGTGTAGCATCCATAAGAAGGACTTCAAGACCAATAGCAAACAACAGGGTGGTGCTGGCAACATGAAGAGAGTACATGATATGTGAAAAATACAAGTCAGAGTTACAGTTGCTGTTCCTTTTCACTGAGTGCAGTTGCTTTGAAATGAGCAGTTGGTGTACATCAGTGGTCTCCAACTTTTAAGCAGGTGATCTTTGGCACTTAAAAGCAACCCAAGATCTACCATGCACCACTGCCACCACCCCCCCGCCCCAGCAGGTTAGTCTGTGGGGAAGGAAGGGGGGGGGCAGATCAAGGCAGAGTGAGACAAAAACTATTTGAGGGCACGCCTCCCCAGCAAGTAAGTCCCACTCAGCCAGGCCCCACTCAACTTACCCCTGTTCCTACCTCTGTGGCACTGTCCCTCACCGTGGGGGCCTCGATCTAACCTCCACCCTTCCCCTCCCCCACTAATTGACTTGCTGGGCTGGGGCATGTGCATGCATGCACATGGGCACTCAGCCCCACCACCCCAGCCTTGGATCAACTCCAAGAGGCTTTGAGATCTACTGCAAGAGGCTCCAAGATCTACTGGTGCATTGAGATTCACTGGTTGGTAACCGCTGGTGTACATCCACAGGCTGTATGATGGATATTTAAAGTCACCAGTGGAAGCAAACAACTGAAAAAATGGCAGAAGTGCACGGTATGGCCACTCAGTGTTTGGACGAGACTTAGAAATGTTCATTTTTGTCATTTACCCTTTCTTATCATAATGTAGTACATTGCTGTTGATCAGTAACTCTGGTTACAACAATAAGTACTCCTAGGCCCCATTTAACATAATACACACACCTTTCATGGCTTCTGATTTTGCTTCTTCAATAGATTCATAAATCTTATTTTTGTCTGCTAATCGTGCTTTTGTAGCTTTATGTTCAGCTTCTTCCTGTTCCAAGTTCTGTTGCAAAACTTTGAATTTGTATGTCATGTCTATTTCCATGTTGTTCTTCTCCTGTTAAAAATACAGGAAAAAGGAACTGACTTATTTGACAAAACAACTGTATATCACACTAAGGTGAAAACAATTTATGGATAACAACAATGTAGAGCTCAACTGAAATGCTGGACAGTTTATTAACAGTAGAAGAGCCGACCCACACTAAAGGAGTGACATGTTAAGGCCTGACTCCCACCGTTGTGTTTTTTTACATGGATACAATGAGGCTTTGCACAAGTCCCATTTCCATACAGTTGTGTAAATACACTGGGAACAGTTTAGTTTTCTTTAAAATAAAGCAAAATATAATATAACAGAAGATTGTACAGAACTATAGTTTCCCATAGTTCTTTACAAAGGTTGAAAATAAGATGGTTGCCAGTAAGAATCCAAGAGAAAAGGAAAATTGAGGAAAAAAAAGAGACAGCACGATAATGCCTATGCTACAGCAAGTGAAAAAAAGTTGAGAATTTTAAATAGGAACTAAAATGTTAAGTTTGGTGCATTTTCAGTTTGCATGACAGAACACTAAGTTAATCCATAAAAACATAAAAATTTAACTGATAAAAAGCAAAGAAAAATTGTATTGTCATTACAATATGCTGTGAAAATGCAGCAATAGATAACAGGCTTGAACAATGAAAAAGATGGTCAATTTTTACACCAGATTTAATTTTAATTTTTCAAGGTGTTGCCAATAATATTGACAAAGAAAGGTAAACTTCCAGGTGGGGCACAGAAGTTCAGATTTTACCAGATGGATTCATTCATTCAAAAAGGAAAAAAGGGCCAAAGAAAGAAACAAGAAAATATCTGTAATTTGAAATGTTTTCCTTTGGTGGATTAACAAAAGGGGGAAAGGTGGTGAAGTGTACTATATGCATGCTTATATATTTCTTTCCCTGCTGAAAATAAATTCCTACAATATGCATTTGACTAACAAGGACATTTTAACTGCCATACACTGGGACTTTTTAAACACAGTTTATCTGTGTACTAGAAGTCAAGTAATGTAACTTGTTGGTGGTACGGAGGAGAGTTCAAAAGTAGCATCCACCACTGTGTTGGCTGACCATACTGCCACAGCAGCAGCTGGTGCTGCCCAGTGATTCATGGCTACCCTGATTGCAGAACCGCTCTTCTACGCGTCTTTATGAGAATAAATTGAATTTATTTCTCTATCTTAATACAAAATATATTGATTCATGGCACCTGGGTAAAATTCTTTAAAGAGCAGCAAATGAAAGAAAAGAGAAGCCAATTAGCATATAAGTAGCAATGCAGGCTGATCAAGTTTGGCACCTGAAGATGCCATTTTACCTTTCATAATGCAATCCAGTTATATGTGCTGTTTTAAACAAGTAGTTACCTTTTCCAAATCTGTAAGCTTCTCCTCTAATTGCCTCTTCTCCATTTCCATTTTGGCTAGTGCGCTCTTTCCAGTTTTTACTTCTTCTTCCAAGCCAGATATTCGACCTAAAAATGTCCAAAACGTCAACTAGCCAGAAATAAAGAGTTAAACTGTTTCACAACTAACCTATTACAATTTCTCAGTTTATAAACTGTAGCTATTAAAAATGTCCATTTTCTAATTGATTGGAAGCTCTTAGCAACATTTTGTACTGACTGATGATGTTTCCCCCTCTCAAAATTTCAGCTTGTACATCTTACTAAATTAGATACAAAACCCATTTTAAATAATGCTACTAAAACCTGTTGTATTTCTGAAACTTGAATCAACGCATAGTTTCAGACATATCTGTTGAAGTACCTTGCAGATCACTAATAATCTCCGATCCATGGCTTCGATCTCGTCTTTCTGATTCTAAAGCTGACTGAAGATTGAGGAAGTCTTTCTCAAGTTTGAGTTTAGCATTCTCTAGCATGCAGTGTTTATCTTGCAGTTCACGATTATTAGCTTCCAACTGCTGGATCTGTTTTGTACTTTCTGTCTGATTCTTCCTTAACCTGGCTGCAGTATCAGACTCTGTACGCAGCAAAGCATTTGCTTCATCCAGCTAAGGGTTCACAAAAACAAATTCCAGGCAATTAAAATTTAAAACTATGACAAGCATCTGTTAATCAACATTTTATGTATCAAAGAAACAAGACAAAGATAGAAGTGATTTTAATATGACATTACTAGACCAAAGTGTAAAGAGTAATTTAAATTCTTAAAGAATTAAACATAAATCTCATGTAGAGTTCATATGCTAAGGACTTCAATCCTGAACTTCAATAAATTATTCTTGTGATTATAAAGTAACACACATACTCAAATATAACTTGCCTGTCTTTGTAACTGATTGATTTTCTCATTTGATATTTGAGAGTTCTGATTTCTCTTTTTCAAATCTTCAAGCTGGTCTTTCAAACTGTTCACTGTAAAAAAAAAATACATACATCATCTATATTTCTATTTATATATAGCAGTGACCTCTACCATACTGATTAAAATGCCTTTAAAAAAAACTGACCCTTACAAACAACTTAACTATTTTATATTAAAAGTATTCCCTTATATCCTTTTTCAGATTTTGCTCCACATACTTTCATTTTCCAAATTGCGTTTTTTATCTGCTTCATGTTCCGCTTTCCTCTGATACTCTGCATTCTTGTGCTGAAGAAGAGCCTTCTCTCTTTCTAGGAGTCTTAATGAAGATTCTACATTCTTCCTTGAGGTTACCTGGAAATATTTATATAATTAAGTTAAAAACAAAAGAGACATAGCTACACAGAAAATTGCTTTAAAGAACAACTCATGGATTCCAATTAGCTTACAAACAAACGAGTATTACATCTGTTTCCTGTAAACATGTGGCATACTATTTCACAGCTGTTCCAGCAGTTGCATACAAACACAACAGGCAACAGAGAAATAACTATAGTAATAAAATGTTATTTCTGATGGGTCTGGATCCTTCAAAAGATCAGTAATGGAGGAGATCCAATCTGAGCATGATTTGGAGGTCAGCAGCCAAATGTTACTATCTGAAGGCTTTCAGTAGTCTACAGTCAATTAATTTGGTGGTCTCGATCTAGTTTCTAGGGAACAAGCATGTACTGAATAAAGAACGTCAGCAAAAATAAATGCGAACTTTCAGAAGAAATTTTTAAATGGGCATGTACAGCTTAGCTGTAATGGCCCCTCCAGATGTGGTCCCAACATATTTGTACTGAACCAGAGGAATGCTTAAATTGCTGCAACCTGTACTAGGATCTGTTCTATGGAAAGAGAATTTCTGCTACTGTTATTACTCCTGCAGCTTAAACTGCTATTAACTTCATAAGAATTTAAATGCTACTTTGTCCAAAGTAGTGGTAGCATAGAAGTCATCATACTCTCCTTTCACCAAGGATACTGCAATATGGGCAATTTCTTATGCTAATGGTACTATGTTATAGTTCCACTGTTACTTAATTGCAAAAGTGTGTCCCAGGAAAAGAAAAATTAAATTAAATACTTCACAAATGCACTTAAAATCAAGAAAAATACATCAATTTACCTCTTCATCTAGTTCTTTCACGATCTTCTCTAAACGAGCATTAGTAGACCTAAAGAATTTGGAAATAAATATAGAAAAAAAGCATCAGTTAAAATAAAAAACAGAATAACATGGATGTTTCTTGTGTATTTTGTATAGTAGATACTGTTTTAGTTGAGCAACACAAGGATGCAGGGAAAAAACATCATGTGAATGTAACCTCATCTAAAAAAGATGAAAAAAGGGTGGCAGAAGTCAGATGACTTAACTTTTTTCAAATCAAGTCTGTTTTTTGAAGCTGGGACCCTTAAAATACACTTTATTAAATTTGAAGTTTTCAAACAGGAAGTGTTTATTAGTGGAGCAAATAAGACACTGAAACATTCTTACCTGTACTTCTGTTCTAATTCATCTTTGGCCTGTGCTTCATTGTTGAGCTGCTCTTCTAACTTGTTTAACTTTTTTTGAAACTGCAAATTGTCAGAAAAAGCATGGCCAACATGTAAAATACTGGACCATAAAAATGAGTCTAGATCAGTAAAAGAAACAGTATTGATAAGCAATGAAAACTGAGTACCAAGATGCAGATAAATAAAAATTCTCAAGCAGCCACAACCTCTAGATTGAGAAATAAAAATACATTTCTGCAAAATATTAACTTGATCCTTCATGAAGATATCCATAGTAACAAAACTTGTTGCATGTAGTGTTAAAATAAATCTAACCACCACAGAATTATGTGCCACAGATGGTAAGCCACAAAAAGCTCTACAGAAAAAGAATGTTGTTTCTGGCCGCTGTCTTTATTCTTTCTAACCTCAGCCCTCTGGATCAGATTCTTTGGATTCTCCAAATAAGCTAAATAAGGCGTATGATCAAAATGGATAACATTTTAAGAATACCACTGAGCATGCTCCGAGGGTTTGCATTATGAAAAAAGGTGAAAATATTTAAGACATTTGCCTAATGTCCCTATAACATTTGGGAAAACATAGTATAGCCAGCATCAAACATTAAAAAATAAAACAAATAAAAATAAAAAAATAAAATAGAAATAAAATAATCATCATCATTAGTCAGTCCTGCAAAACATGTTAAATTGATTTCAAATGACTTCAGAGCATCATTGTCTGTTGTGCTTTTGGACACTGAAGGTTCATTTTTTCCAACTTGTCTCTGGAACCACAAGGGCTAGAATTTTTTTTTTTTAAATGAGGTGTGCAATGGTCATGGTTACAAGACTCCAGAAACAGAGGCTTTACAACAGTCATGGAATATTGGGAGAGCTGTAAGAAAGAGTTGACAGAACTGAACTATAGTGTTTTACTAAACTGAAATCTTCAAGTCAGAAATATATTTGCTGTTTTTCAATCTAGAACTGAACAGATGGTGTGGATATTGGACTATAAACACCACTGAAGAATTCAGCTGAGACAGCATGCTATCTTCAATATCAATAACTTATTTTAAAAAACACAAAACCTCCTAATTTGTGCATTAAATGACAGAAAGGAAGTACAGAGGTAGAGGTTAATTAAAAACTGTGGCTGAGATAACCTTCACATGAATTTTTTGGACTTGCCCACATGTATTCTGAGATTCTTTGTAGCTTTTAAGCTAAAAAAAAAAAAAAAAAATCACCAGATTGACAAAATGTTTATTTAATGAACAAGTCTGGGAAACACCCTTCTTGTCAACATGGTGGCAGAAAGGGATCTTGGAGTCATTGTTGACTCCAGGATGAACATGAGCCACCAGTGCGAGGAAGCGGTCAGTAAGGCTAACCGCACCTTGTCATGCATTTACAGATGCATCACTAGCAGGTCCAGGGAGGTGATCCTCCCCCTCTATGCAGCACCGGTCAGGCCGCAGCTGGAGTACTGCGTCCAGTTCTGTGCACCCCACTTTAGGAGGGATGTGGACAACATGGAGAGGGTGCAGAGGAGGGCCACTCGCGTGATCAGCGGGCAGCAGGGCAGGCCCTATGGGGAGAGGCTACGGGACCTGAACCTGTTCAGCCTCCACAAGAGAAGGCTGAGAGGGGATCTGGTGGCCATTTACAAACTCACCAGGGGGGCCAGCAAGAATTGTGGGAGGCTCTGTTCCCCTGGGCACCACCCAGGGTTACTAGGAATAACTTCCACAACTTGTTAGAAATAAGGTTCAGGCTGGACATCAGGAGACATTACAGTTAGGGCTGCCAGGCTCTGGAATGGGCTCCCAGGGGAGGTGGCACTCTCTCCTACCTTGGGGGTCTTCAAGGCTGGACAGATATTTGGCTGGGGTGAAATGACCATGGCATCCATTCCTGCCTGGGGTCAGACCTGATGATCTGTTTAGGTCCCTTCCAACCCTAAGCACTATGAAACTATGAAAGTTCTTTATTATTTAGTCACAGGTATTAAGATTACTAGTGTATAGCTTACTTATTTTGATGCATAAAATTTCGAACTCAGACATACTCTCCTGTACTAAAAGTTTTATGCTTATAAGGGTTCTTTCACATATGTGAATGAAAGTGAACTTTCATGTTCTAGACAAATTAATAATGAATCACTTGTATAAAATTTGGAGCTAAAAATCACAAACTTCTCTGAAAAAATATATTTTGTGATGAAGAGTGTTACACATTAATCTGCAAAAGAAAAAATAAACTAGCTGCCAAATAAGAACTGAAAATAGTTTTCAATCACATATTCAGTTTTATACAGCAGCATTTTATACTTCTTCATAAATGCAATTTTAAAAATCTTTTATTCACAGACTGCTCTTTTTACCATTAAACACTTAACCTAGTTAAGTTGTTACAATATAATTTCATGCTAACACAAACAACGTAGCTATCTTCATTTCTTCCATAATTCAAAATACTGGACCTACCTCTTTGCTGTCCTGTAAAAGGAAAAATAGACAGATTTTTATTAGTAAGAATTAAAATGACATAAAACAAAAAACATTTCCTACAAACCTAACTCAAGTGTCATGACTCTTAATAAAATTTCACATTTTAACATACTTATTTTATACTTTGAAGAATTTTAAGGGGAGCCTTATGCTGTAATTATAAGGCACACAATAGATTTACAAATATTTGTTATAACTTCCATAGGAAAACACATTTTCAAGACGCACCTAGACGCATACAACCCTCAGTCGTTTCTACAAATGTTATTAATTCCACTATATTCTAATTTCTAACTGAAATTATTATCCTTCTGTCTAAAATACACACTATTGAATAGCTACTTGTAAATACAGACATATAAACTAACATTAAGCAAAACAATCTAACTACATACAATATTCACTCTTGAATGCAAGCCTTTTCTTAACAGACAGCAAAATAATTCAAACATATATTAAAGCACTTGCCTCATTTTTGCTAAGCTGCATGGATTCATTTTCTCTACAAGACTGAGGATAGTCACTTAACAACCTGTTTAAAAAAACCAAAAACTAACTGTTATTTATGTTTTCAACAGCTCTGGCAACCAAACCAATCAACTCATTTTAATCAATTCTCTGAGGCCTTAATCGTTCCTGGGCTATTCTTAGAATAAAGCCAGTTTTTTCAGTACAAGTTCTCTTCATTTTCATTTGAATGCTCTCTTGACTAAAGGGAATGTTCAGAATTTTTCAGTTCAATGCAAGGTTACAATGAATATTTACAACAGTTGCATAATGACAAATGTGATAATATATACAATTACGAATCAGAGAGAGACAGCTTTTACACAATATGCCTTAGCTGAATATTCTTTCCAAAATTAGTACTTCAAGAAAAGTAGAAAAGTGAGCTACAACCAGTCTAGATGTTAAAACACAAAAGCAGTTAAAATGCTATAAATCTGCAGCATGTAGACACCAATGTCTAATCACATAAGTATCAAAGTATTCCCTCCCCACCAAAACAGAATATTTTGATAAATACTACTTAAACTCGGCATTTCAACACAAGGCACATACTAATTATGGTACACTATACATAAATCAATTGTATATTTACAGCAAAAAGAGGAGGATGTAATAAGAATCTTCAAATATGTTTCTAAGGATGCATATTTTAATGTCACATACAAATTGTCTCTGTAGTAGGTAAATCCTATAAAAGGCAGCTGGTTTCCCACAAAGGCTTTGGGAATTGGAAAGGTTTCCACATCTCCTTTGTCATCCTCAATATCATCAAAATTACTGCTGTCTATGTCACTGCTAAGCTCAGGTACCACAGGAGCAGCAGCTACAAAGAGGGAGAAAAAAGTCAGTTTCATAATATCCCTAGTTGTAAACACATCCCTAGCTGTAAACCCTCCCCCCACAACCCCCCCCCCCAGAAAACCAAACCCAAAACATTTTATAATGCAATATAAACTGTGGCTCTTATAGTAGCTTGCTATACTATTTACCATGTAGTAGACCAAATATTATGTATTATTAAAAATTCATTTCTTTGCAATGCCACACATGACCGAATATTTTTAAAGGGTCTGGAAACAAAAGCTCAACAAAAATGTATCAGCTTGCTACAGCATGCAGGTTTTAATGAAAAAGCAGACACTTTTAAAACACCTACATTTTTGATCAGGGACTAAAGCCCAATCTTTGTTTAAGTATTTTAAGAAGTTGCAGCAAATGTCTGATTAACGTAGTTATGATCCAACTGCTAAATAAGCAGTTGATTTTTCCCTATGGCAACTGAATTCAGACCGCCTTAAACTATATACAAAGTAGTATACTTAGAGAATGTTAATTTACAAGATAATGGGGACTTTTACCTTTAGGAGGTAGGCAAGTTAGGATAAGTAGAACTGAATATATGCCTATTTGTAAAAATACTAAAAGCTCAAAGAAATAAACACAGTACATTGCAGCATGGAAATGTATACTCATAATAATTATGCTTTTAGTATAAACAGGAATGACCTGTTTATACTAAAACAAACAAAAACAAAACAAAAAGTTGCTTATACAAAACTCAGGTAAACAGAAAAAAAATACTTCACAAATAAAATACTAACTTTACAAAAATGTTGTCTTTTTCATTTTTAATTACACATTTAACGTATTAGGAATTGATTTATGCAAATATTGAACATGATAAAAAATAAAGTTTTAGCTTAAACTACTTACTCTCTCGAATATTATCCCAGTTCCACTGATCACTCTCAAAGAAAGGGTGCTGTTTAATTTCTTCTACCCCATTCCTCCCAAGTCGCACCTCCCTAAACATAGCAATTAACCCAGTTTCAGGTTAGGAAAAACATCACTTCATTTTGTTTAATTAACAGTTGTCTTCATGTAAAATGGCACAGAAATTTTAAAGCAAATGTTTAGGTGAGAGCAGTTGGTGAATGCTAACATGAATTGCATTAATAACCAATTGATTTCTCATACAAAGTGTTCCCAGTTTCTTAGGAGGCACTCTCCTTGCTAGTACTCAATTTGCAGTCTGCCACGTGGGGAGTAAAGCATTTTTCCACTGAGAGTCTGTGTAGAAAGGGAGCACACAGGCACAAGGTTTTAAATGAAAAAAAATATCAACTGAAAACTTGCAGAATCTGCCAAACCACACAATAAACCTTAGGACGCAAATGAAGGGAGGTTTGGCTTAGTACACAGAACAGTTATTCAAGCCCCACTAAAATAAAATATTAAAAAAATTCTCTCGTCTTCCCCTTAAAAAACAACTCTTACAAATCTTTTGATTACACTCGCTATGAAGTCAACAAATGGTAAAGTTTTAAGAGCAACAACAAAAATTCTAGGTCTTTACATAAAGACAGTCTTCTAGAGCTATCTATAAGAACAGAAAAACAACTTTTATTCTAGAACTAGTATGTCACGCAAGAGATGCGCATTCCTTCTTGTCACTTTAAGTGCTTCGGTAGTGAGCATCCACTACAGAAAAAGGGCATCTGTTTTAAATAAATCCCTTGAACACCACATTTTAATATAAACAGGAAGCCATACACACGTGGGGGAAGTACTCCCGGCCACATTTACAGTATTAAACTCTGTTCATATATCCCCTCTCCACCCTTCAACCATTCCTTGGGTGCAAAGAAGGGAAAAAAATCCTACTAAAACAGTCTTCTCATGAATGGTACTTCTTTAGCAGCACCCTTACTCAACAGGCTACACAAATGCCCTTTGAAATGCAAAACTAAGTTTAACTGGCATGTACTTTAAAAACATATATATTTTGTTAAAAAAAAAAATCAATCATGTCACAAGGTTATTGGGCCAGGTTCTCCACTGAAATTCTGGTTAGTGAAGGACAGTATGACACCTGGATGCTCCCAGATGACTGCACAGTCCAGTTCAGTCTCTTTTAACCGGCTGGGGGTTCTCTAGCATATGCCAATAAGGGATCAGCTAGCAAAGCACATGAATGTGTGTGTATGTACATCTGGTGGGCTGGAGGGAGGGCATGGAAACAGTTTAGTATCTGCCAGCTTAATGTCAACAACAAGCTCCCCTTACACAATGGGGAAGAAAAGAAAAAAAAGAATCGCTCTTGGCAGTTTATATCCAGAACAATTGCCCCTTTCTGGTTCATCATCTATATTTGCAAATTCATACGTCAAAGAGGTTAAAATAATGATGTTTTTTAAAAAAAAGCTGTATAACAACTTGAGAAAGAAAACCCAACTGTATAAAATTCTTCACTTTTGAGAAAGTACAGCAGAATGCAGATCATTTGCATCTGGGTATGGACACAAGTACCAGTGAGCCTGCTAGATGTGGTTGAACTGAAGTGGACAGATATACAAACCCATTAAACCAGTTTAAAGCAGCTAGGAACTGTTCAAAAGTTTACCTGGAAAATCAGGTGCTCGTTCAAACCAACACACTGTGAACTGGGTACGTGCTGTGTGTGGACACCAAGGCTTCTGTGACATTAGGCTGGTCAGACCCCAAGGCACCCCACACTCCTCACCCCCTTTAAGTGCTACAACTACCTGCTCTAATACGTCACCAGAATTCTACTGTCCCCTCTCGTTTGCTGGCTTTTGAAAAAAAATGAGGTACCTTGCACTGCTTGTTCAATAAACAGCTCTGACAACCAGCTGTGAACTCATTTTCTACTTAACTGTGTTCCCTTGTTATCACCCCTTGGCTTTGGCAACCCCACCCTGCCAGCCACCCCAAATCACGCCGCAGACTTTAGTCAACTGCAAAATACTGAAATATACCAAACTCAAGTCTAGAAGAGAAGGACAAGCAGACAAATGAAAGTGCCCCCAGCCACAAGTCATTCATCCCCTCAAATGCCCGAAGCGTGGGTACAAGCACTCCTCCTCCACGCTCCCTGTAAGGCATGCTAGACTGCATCCTCACTCCTACTCCCTGGTGTTGGAGCCACAGCACTGAAAAAGTGATACTTCTACCTGTAATGCATGGACACTCTGTGTGTGAATACCTCTGACCCATGACAACTGTGAACCAAATTCCCAATCAATGACACTTGGAAATGGTTCAATTATTACACGTCCCTTAGTCTGAAGCAAATTATTAAATAAAGGATGAGCTGCAAAGATGTTTTCTGCAGTTTTTACTTCAAAGGACACTGATTCTCCACTCAGCCAGAGCTCATCAGCAATCACTGATGAGTAGCTGTTTATTGTGGCCCCATCTTCACATGAGACTGAAGAACCTAACCCTCTGAAGTGTCTGGTTTCTAGTGTGTTTTTCATAGTTGTGCAGTGTACAGTATTTAATGAATGAAAGTCAGGTTGTAAGTTATCATATTTAAGACCTTTTTGTAGCAGGGATTTTTTATTTAAACGTCTGAACATTGCACTGAAGTTCGGGCTTGAGGTTTTTAATTGTAAAACTGTTCCATAGAAGGAGTTGCCAGAAGTGCTCAGAGAATCACTGATTTTACCTACACATTGTGCAGAGGTTGCAAAAAAAAAGTCAGCAACTATGAAGCTGAGGTAGGCTTAATTTCTCAGAAAATGAAGGTGATTTAGGGAGCACAACTGAGAGAAGTAGCCATTATGTCTAAAATAGATATTGTACCAAAATAGTACACACATACCTGTCAGTTAAAAAGGCACAGATGAGATTCTTTGCATGCTTAGAGATTTCCACTTCTTCTGAGAAAATTAGTGAGTTTTTGTGATCCATGATTTTACTGTATGTTCCTACTAATGAGTCTGCATAAAATGGAGTATCACCTAAAATTTAAAAAAATTAATTGGCAAGATTTTTTTTTCTTTTTTTTTTTTTTTTTTAACAAAAAT